AGTTCTTTTTGTTTACATAAGCTTTTAAGAATCAAAAATATGGTCTGTGTTTTGAAACATAGCCTCTCTTTATTGTGAGGTGTATGTAAGAAAGTAGGGAAGAGGTGGTGATGGATTGAGACATTGCAAGACACTGGAGGGGAAGACAAGAAGTGTTGATCTGTTGCAGGAGGTAAAAGGACGCCAGTAAAGGGACTCAAGAAGGCAAGCAATGCAGTTAGCAGCAGCAGAAGAGTAGGAGGATTTTTGGCAGGAGAATTTTGCCTAGATTGGAAATTGGGAATGAACTGAGATGCAGAGAGGCCACTGAGGACGCAGTGGTAGTAATTGAAGCAGTGGATAACTATGGAGTAGATAAATACCTCAGTAGGAGGGGTGGATGTTAAAGACATTTCTTAGTGATGCTGTAGAAAAAAAAAAGTGGGATTTTACATCAGGAAGGCAGTGGAACAATAGTTGGTATTGTGTGAAAGGTCTCTGATTACAAGGCTGAATGCTCATAAAGGTATTAGAGTTGTCCATCGTGGCAAAGACAAGACTGGAAAGGACATGAAGACCTCCCAATTTCTCCTGCTTTCAGTGATGGCATCAGTCAGGCTTGTGCTTCCAACAAAGCAGAGTGCTTTGTCTTTGGCCTTTATTAGTTGCTATAAGTCATTGTGTCAGCCTCCAGGAGGGACGGGGCAGCGTTAGAAACCTTCCTGTATTGGGAGCATCTCCTCTGGGTCAGTTCCAGTGCAAAGAGAGATTAGCTACATGCACATGAACTGTTCTGCACATTTTCTTGTGGATAAATAGAAAGCAGATCCCAAGTCTGTCAGTCAGGAAACTTTATGAATGTGCTTGAGGAGGAAGAAAAAAAGAAGAAATGTTTTATTTAAAGTGTACTTTGTGTTGTTGCTTTTGAATGCAATGAATTAATTGTAAGAGGCAGAACAGAAATAGTTAGCAGTGATACTGAACAACTGACTTGCTTTTAAAAGTCTTCTTGGGACATTGTTGTAAAGCTACACAGTGATTTGGAGCCTGCTTAGGTGTGTTCTTCCTTCAGCTGGAACGTCTGAGTTTCCAGGTGGTCACAAAGCCTGAAAGGAGAGAGTGGGAGAGGAGCTGCTAGAAGTGAATTTCCATTTGTAAATCCTCTGGCTGATAGAGAAGAAAGCTTCTGGGTCAGGAAGCATGTTTACTTTTGTGCTCTTCAACAGCAGTCTGAAAGGAGGTGTCAACTTTAAAACTGTCTTGGCATTGTGGCTGCTTCACTTGCAGTGTTTAAACTCATTTAAAACTTGTGGAAGCAATGGGAAGAGGCAATGACCCCAAATGCTGAGGAGAGCGTGCTAAATTCCTCTGCCTCCTGTAGCACCAGCGTCTTCACTGAAGGTGGACGTTCAAAAGATAAATGGGTCACTGCAGTTGTATTTATTGTCTCTGTTTTCTCTTAATTTGAGGCAATATGGCATATTTTCTTTCCAGTTTATTATCACTGAAGTCAGTAATGGTATTCCAGTTTCACCATCCGTCTCCCACAGAAATCCCAGGGAAGACTTCTGTTTACAACTTTAGCAAGGTTTTTGGTCACTTGCAACATTGTCTGGAGTAGGATTAGATGATGTATATATGAAATAGAGTGGTGTTCTCAAGTTGCAATGTTGGTTTTTGTTAATACATCATTGTATTGGATCGTGGGAGTGATGCTAGAGGTTCAGTCAAGAGTCACCTGTGGTCTCCTACTGCCATTTAAGACTCCCTAAAGTATGTGCAATGTCCTCTGGGGCTGGTAGATGTGACACAGGACAGTGTGAGACCTGTGTCCTCCTCAGCTGGCAGCTGAAAGCTGAGCAAGGTCACACAAGATAGCACTGGACTGTGGATAACTGGATCAGACCTCGCGTGTCCTACAAGTCAGGAGCATCTCCACTGCTCCAGTGCAGCTACTGGTGTGAAGGGAAGAATGAGATGCTTGCTGAAAGGCAATTATGCTGTTTTGCAGTTGTCTTCCATGTGCTTTCTCATTTTAAGGTGGACATAATTGGGCAATATGCTTGTGAATTATCTGTGCCATCCAAATAGAGAGAGAGAGATAGATTGCTTGTTGTCATGACAACAAAAGATGGTGAGGTGTTTACTTAAAAGTGAGTTCTGCACAAGCATTCACGTCAAGCCGTGTCTGAAGATCAGTGTTTGAAGAACTATTTTTCGGAGAGTCCATTCCTCCTTTAAAATATTTGCTGTATTTGTGCAGTTTTACCCCAGGATATTTGGAAGACTGCTTTTTGCAAGCTTAACCCAGGACGGAGCGGACGCTTTTATTTTCAAAAGGCACTCTTTAGTTCAGTGATGGAAATCCTACCTAGGCTGCAAGTCGTGGCACATGGAACAGCCAGCCAGTCAACTCTCTGCTGCTTGTATAAAAGGGATTTGTAGCCAAGAGACTTCCTTTTAAAATGAATCATATGGTAACTCACTTTTATAATCCTTTAATATCTTTTTTGCTTTAAAAGGTATTTGGGTTTAAGAGCATGCTTTGTGATATTAATTTTATCTCACTGAGCTTTCTTTTATGTATAAATCTGTGCTGGGGCAGAGGAGATATTTATTAATTCCTTGGCAGTGCCTTTTATACACTGTGTACTGAAAATGAAGCATGGACTTGATATTCAAATGGGGCAAACTGCTACTCTTCTCTGTGAGTAAATATGCTGTGTATAAAAAGAGCTGTGTAAGTGCTGCATACCATTAGTTACCTGACTGCCTTGTTGTAGTTACCTTTTAGTATACTTTCAGCTACTTACTGTCCAGAAAGGTCTTCATTACCTTATGAAGAAGGTACATTTAATTGTGTTCGTTTCATATAAACAGACAATATTAATACTTTCAAAGATACATGAGCTGAAATAGCCAGTAGTATTATTTGAAATTCTTCAGTGTTACCTTGGATTTGGTGTCTAGACATTAAATATAATGATAATCCATAGCACCTGTATTTGTATTTAAAATATTTGTGTTTCTGCAGGTGCATAATTGTAGTTAAGGCAGCCAGAGACAGAGAGGAATAGGGAAAAAGTTGATGAGGATGTTTAAATAGGACTTGCAGTTCTTACACAACAGAGAACCCTATCTGAGACATTTTTAGCATATCCAGTGCTGCTATTTGAAGTTTGAATTGGAAATGAAAAGTTTCAGGAAATATTTAAATCAGGTGGGTTTTTTTTTTTGGGTTTTTTGGTGTGGTTTTTTTTTTTTTTTTTCCAGCATGTAGCTCAACTGTGTTATGGCCCAGGATTCGTGGTGTTGTAATCCAAATTTACAAAAAATACCAATCTTGGAAAGAACTTGGCAGTTTCTGAGGCAGGTCAGGATACTGAAAAGTCAGATTTTTAGCCAGCCATCTACATATTACCTCTGTGCTTGTCTCTAATATTTCAGTAGTCCCTTTATCCAAGCAAGAATGTGTGACTTGTTACTTTGAATTATGCAGCATGGGAAATACTGTTTAGTTATTTATTTCAAGCAGCAGTAAGGCATCAAATATTGGTCTCAAAGGCTTCTTAGGTTAACGAGAGGGGCAGTGTCAGTGACAGTGAGGAAAGAAACTGGAGTAAGACCAGAAAAGACAAGTGGCATGACTGGATTTGTCAGACATTTGTAAACACCAATGGCAAAACATATATTAATCATCTGTTTTTCTTGCAAGCTTAAAAATTGTGAACTTGAGCCAGTTTTCTGTACCACTCTTTTCTGGTGTCATACCTGATGAGTTAACTATAACTCATTTCCTCTGTCAGTGAGACCAACTGGCTGTGTTGGTAACTCACCACATGTCTGCTGTGGGTGCTCCCAGATCCTCCCTCCTCCACCAACTCCACGTGTCAGCTCCTGCTGGGAAGTCTTGGTGGAAATCCACTGGGGCAGACAGAGGCCAGGTCCTGGTGTCCCTGTCAGAGGAATGTTGGTTTTATGGGGCGTACAGAGACCTCAGCATTGCTGCATTGCTAAGGAGGCACTGAAGGATGCCAGGCTGAGGTGCTCCCAGGGGGTGAGGAGGTGGTGTGGGAGTGAGCAGACAGGCCCCCATTCCCTTGGCTGGTAGACATGGATGATGCAAAGGGAGTTTTACTCCTGTGCACTTTCCCTTGAATCCCAGGAAGATGAAGAACAGGAGAGGGGGCTCTGGGAAAATAGGATTATGGTTAACCTTGTTTGTCTCAATTCTTTGTAAGTCAAATAGTTCAGTATATGAATTGACAATGTCTTGCAACTCTAACAACCTTTCTTGAAGGCTTTCTGTACTGTTTCCTGCTCCTGTTACTATCTCTTCAGGGATTCCCCTTTGTATTTTATCTTCTGTTTCACGAGTGTGAAATTTGGAGAATAACCTCCCTATTGTCCAGCCGATGCTCAGCCAGCCATCATTTTTCATAGTCCCCTGGAGTGTACTTTGGAACTTATTTGCTTGGAAGTAGTTCCATTGATTGTAAATCTGTTATATGGCAGAAATTCTGGAGCAGGGAGCATCTTTGTTCTTCCTGGTGATGGTAAGCTTGCAAAGCAGAGCAAGATGAAGAAACCTGTGTAATATATTGACATGTGAATTCTGATATATTCTCTGTACAAAAGGCAAAGATATGTACAAGTCAGCTGGGAAAATAACATCTGTGATGTTGGGGAGTAAGCAGAAGAGCCTTGTTCTTTTGCTTTCTCAGCCAGGAGAAGCTGCAAAGATACATCTGCAGTTTATAAAGCACTGATTTCCATTACGTGTAAGAAAGAGTTGAACAGGTTGAGTATTGGAGTGTGGATACCAGTACTCCCACTGTAGCTACTGTCAGACCTTCGTGCTGCTCATACTAAGTCTTTAATTTTCTTTCAGCAGTACTCGTGTAAATTGACAGTCACCCAAATGGGGAAAGGAAGAGGTTGCTGAGAGCTGTAAAAGAAGAGTGAATCCAGCGTATCTAGCGTGGATAAGAGATGTTTCATTGTCTCCTTTTGCCTTGCAGGAAGAATGCAAACAGATCCTGGCTCGGCAGAAGTCCAGTTCCCAGTCTGATTCTCACGACGATGAGATTTCCCCTCCTCCCCCCAACCCGGTGGTGAAGGCGCGGCGGAGGCGGGGCGGGGTCAGTGCCGAGGTGTACACGGAGGAGGACGCCGTCTCCTACGTCAGGAAGGTGAGGGGTCCATTGCCACGGCTCCCACTCAGGGCTCCAGGACAGCCCAGTGACTCATGTTTGGCTCACAACTTGGAATCGTGGCTCAGCCTGTAGGAAGGTGTCCTCCTGCCAGCTTATGAACGCTCTGACCGTCTTCACACCGGGTTCTCCTGCCGCCTCCTTGACTAAGGGCTTTCCCCATCAGTGTTGCTTCACCATTCTTTGTTCTTCCCCTTTTTAGAGATGTGCTGCTAGTCTGTTTTCCTCTTTAACAGTACATGCAATTCTCAGCCATTTTTCTTGATGTTCACAGGCTCCAGCAGCTTCCAAGCTTTGTCAGAACTTCACAGTTTTGGAAAGCTCGAGTCTTCTAACCAAGGTCGTTTAGGTCCCCTAGACCACTCAGGCACATGGTTCCCGTGTTGGTTGAGTACCACCTGACCATGGGCTTTTGGAAATCTGTGGACCATTCTTAGGTGATTTTATGTGACCATTGTCTTTGAAGAAATGACGATCCCAAATGAATTAATTTCTTCAGTAGGAGCACTAATTGGATCTTCTCTTTTTTAAACTGCCTTAGATATGTTATATATTTGATATCTCTTAATAGCTCTGCACATTTTTTTTTAAACCAGCCAAAGCTTTCAAGGATTATTAAAAAATAGACATTAAAATAGGGTATGTCACGTTTGTTTAGGGAGCTAGGCTAAAAATGCATTTCATAAGGTTGACAGATGATACTAATGTGCTTTTGTGCATGCCTAGAGTAGCTTGAACCCAAAGAGGTTTTTCTTTATGTGAATACATTTTGTCAGTCACTGTTTTTTTGGCAGAATACTTCTTGCCTTTGCAGTCAGATGTGCTTTTGTCATCCACTTATGATACAAGTTCACTGGCTGCTCTGGGGATTTCTGTCCCAAGAAATAATGAATTAAGAGAGCCTTTCATCCTGAAAACAAGCATGGAAGAGTATTCTTGTGGCAGTTAAATAATGCTTGGAAGAATACAGGAAATTTTAACATTGCTGTGGTTAAGCTATGAACTGCACTGCTAAAAGCCTTGTGTGATATTTTAAAGCCACTTTCAAATAGTTGTCTTTCTGTGCAGTTTGCAATATCCCTCTTAAAAACTTCCATGGAGAGATCACATTTTTCTCTGCTTAATATGGTCTCCATCTGACTCTTCTGAAAATCAAAGGAGATATTCTTTCCCACACCCCTGAGTAATTATTTTGTATTTATAATGGAACCTGAAGTTAACTTTTTTTTCTTACTTTTTCAACAGTGATTTCAATAAGCCCCAACAGTAACATGGGTGGGAAAGAGCCAGAAGAAGCAATACAGATCATATTCTGTGTGCTCTGTGACCAAAGCTGTTGTGATTTTAATTTCCTAGGAACTGACTGAGTTTAAACAACAATAATTTAGGAGATGGTTTCTTGTCAGGCTACAGATGCTGCAAGGAATATAGAACTAGCACTGGGAGGGTTTATGTCAGTGCTTTGTCTTCTGCCATCAGCAAATGAATCCCATGGTGAATCTCACGGATGTGTGTTTGTGACAGATTTCTAGAACACAGAAGTAAAGGGATACACTGAAAGGACAAATTATGAAATGACTTTAAAAGTGTAAGAAGCAAGGCAAGGGTTGTGTTAGACTATTGCAAACAGATGGATTTTCAGAGAGTAGCCAGGAAGAACCACTGGCTTGAATTCAGGAGTTGGATAGAAGCACATCTGGGTCATAAGGCAATTTAAAGGATCCCTTGAAGGGGTGAGCTATAGGGTGAGTAGTGCTAAAGGCAATGCAATGAGCTCTGTCACTGGGGAGAAAATCAAAGGAGATTTAGCTTTGTGATTTGAGCAAGCATGGCTCCATTCTGAGGAGCACAAAAGAAGTTCTCTGGAGAGGGTTATTTCATTGCTTCATTTCTGACACTAGAGAAAGCAACATTTGTCAACACATCTGACATGACATGTAGTTACCAACTAACAGGATAAGAATCTTGCTGTAAAGAGGGCTATTGACTTGAAGATACCATTCAATGATTACTTGGAAGTATGATATGAGAAATGGCCAAGTGATTACTCCTGACATTTGATTTTAGTTGGATGCCTGGTTACTGTGACACCTAAAAAATCTCTCCTGTTTTCTGTGTCTGTGCTCCAACACACCCACTTTGGTCTCTGCCTTGTGGCTTTCACTGCTGCAGATAGAGACTGAGAAAGGCTAGTCTGTGCTGTTCCATAATCAGCCAGAAAGGTGGGAATTGATTGTCTTCATGAGTTCTTTATCTACCCTTTTGGCTCAGCAGTAAGATGAACATCTAGGGTATGTTTAATAGAGCAGGGGTTTGGGACTGCAATTCAGTCCAAAGTTTGTTTGATAAGGATAAAAGAACAAGAATAAACTGCTCAAATACTAATTTTATTTAACACTGAGGGATTTAAATAGTTAAATTAGATTACATTGCACTGATACAAATATGCAGTTTATACCTATACACTTCTTTAGACTTGAGTAGTCTCATGACTGCAGCAGTCAATATAAGTGATGCCTGATGCTGGAGTTTAACTTCATATCTTCACAGTGCAGTGTTTTCCCTTGAAATAAAAGTAGATCAATTATTTGTGAGAACTGGTTCTACATCAGTTTTCCCACTTGATGCATTCTTCTTCAGATTGGTTGGGTAGTACCTTACCTTCCCCGGATGAGAAAAGGAAACTACCTGTGCATCAGCATACACAGTAACTTAAATAAGAGATACACTGTTTCTGTTATAAGAAATGTGAAAGGTAAATGTCCATTATTAGACATTTTTTGTACAGTAATTAAAATAGCAAACAGTTGTTTTTCTGATGCGAGTAAGGCGTATTTAACATTTAGAACTTTTTCTAGGCTTGATTCTGTCCCATTATAATGAAACTATGAAGGAAATCACATCACTAAAGTCCAAGAACATCTTTCATAAGTCATAACCTTATTACAAATTTCTTGTAACCACGAAGTCTGTGACTGGCAGAAGATGCTTGGCAACATCAGAGATACAGTATCTTTACTAATATCTTACCCAAATGCTTACCAAAATGGAAAGCCTAACTTGCAAAAGTCTTGTAAAAAAACTTCACCCAATATGAAAACATACTCCTGAATGTCAACATTTATTTTGAGCAGATTCATGTGCAACAGGACCTTGCCTGTCTCTTCACTCAAATACAAGTCCTTCTTGTTTGCCGTGAAGCGATGGCCCAGGTGGACCTCTCAGGAGCCTGGGTTTTTATACCACAACCAGTGCTGAGAAGTATGGTGTAATCAACACATTTTTACCTTTTACCTAAAGTAATATTGCTCATTCCCTAGTTTTAAAAGTAAGTTGCTTCTGATGTTGTTTGTGGGAGAAGAAGAATATGCGATATATTTTCTTCAGTCCAAGAGATTTGGAAGAAGACCATGCAGCTGCAGTACCTGCTAATTGTTGTATGTTATGGATATTCTTCTCCCCAGTCATCCCGGATCTAATATTTCTTTTCTAGTTGTCATACTGAGAACATAAATTCTTACCCTCATGTTGTCAAAACTTTAATTTATTGCTTTCTTAGTGGCTTTATATTATAGCGTAAACCCGTCTCAGTATTTGAAATTAAACTGCATCCATTATCTTGAACAGTAGAATTTTCTGTACATTTCAAGATCTATGAAGAAATATAATTGGGCATGTAATTATCCTTTGTTCTTTTATCCACAGGTTATTCCAAAGGACTATAAAACTATGACTGCTCTGGCAAAGGCCATCTCCAAGAACGTGCTCTTTGCTCACCTTGATGACAATGAACGAAGGTATGAGGTGCTTTATGATTTAGAGGAATCTAGTGCTTGACCTGAGGGCAAGAAACTATATTAAATTCTAACTCAGAGATCAGAACTACTCTCACTGATCCATTGGAGTCATACTAGATGCACCCTCACACACCCTTATGGTGTTGCAACAGAGGGTAAAATCACAAGCTAAAAAAGGGCAAGAACTGGATAGAATTTATTCAGACATACTTAATATTCTCAAATCAGTTGTGCCTGATGAACTTTATACTAGATTACTTAAAGAACTGGCTAAAGCAATCTCAGAAGCATTTGTAGGTACTTCTGAGAGCTCAGGGAAGACAGGTGAAGGTCTGGAAGAGTGGGAAAGAAAAAGCATAATGTCTATAAAGAGGGAAAAGAGAATTACAGGTAAATTATTTTGTTCTTTGAAACACTGGAACAAACAAATTATCTGTAAGCACCTGAAGGAGACCAAAGAGTTCAGCCACTGTGACTTCTAAAAATTTGAAAATGTTTTTCTACAACAGAGTAGCAAGTTTTGTAGCTAGGAAAGACACAGTGGAGGCCAAACAGCTTGACTTGTAGTAACTTTTTTGACATGGATGTGTATGACAGCTTCATAAACAGTCAAGGGAAATGTGTCTTCAGTGAAACCACCGTGGTGTCTGCAAAACTGATTGGATTGCCATACCAAATAGCAATTATCAGTGGTCCATCATTCTAACTGAAGGATATATTGAAATGTAGGAAGAGTTGGCCTGATTTTCATCATTATTGTCATTAATGACCTCAGCAGTGGAATAGAGTATGAGTATTGAATTTTCAGATGACAGGAAGGTGGCCAGGGCTGTTAAAACATCAGGAGACAAGGCTAGAGTTCAGAATTATGCTGTCAGGTTGAAGAAATGTTCTAGTAAAAGAAGGATGGACTGTCACTGAGCCAAATGCTGAGAACTATAGGTAGTCAGGAGCTATAAAGCTATAAAGGGAACTTTATAAGACAGTTTTGCAGTTTTGATTGTTCTTTGTAGAATGTGGAGCTTATTGTGAATCATGGTCTGAACATTAATCACTAATGTTGAGCTGTTTTGAAAATACATTTTACTGGGATAACTGAACAGGAGAGCATGCAAGAAGACTGCTTGGGTAGGTTGTGGAGTCTCCACCACTTGAGGTCATTAAAACAGATTAGTCTGCAGTCTGCCAGGAATGACATAAGTAGTGTCAGTCTTGCCTTGCAGCAGATAGGCTAAGTGATGTCGTGAGCCAACCCCACTTCTCTGTGCTTATGTGGTTTGAAAGGACAAAGACTGTCTACACTGATGTTTTCAGTACTGGCAGAACATACAGTCCTTTGGTGGGGCTACTCAAGCACTTTCAGTCAAAGCACATTTCTGGTGTGCAAATTTTGCTCCCTCTTGCAGGCGTTTACACAGTTTAATTCCATTGCAATCCTAATTATGATATCACATTAACATGCAGATTTCTGGAGTAATTAGAAAAGGATTAACTTTACACATTTCTTCTAGCTTTCTCACCCACAGCAGAAAATTCTTGTACAGAACTGCTATAAATCCTAATTACACCATCAGCATGCTAACTTGCCAGGCACTGAAAGGATAGGTTTTAGGGCTGGAAAAGGGACATATTGGTAATATGTTATCAAAGTAGGGTGAGAGAGAAAAACTGAAGGAAAAGTGCTTTTTCTTGCACTGTGTTGATTGTACATCATGGTCATGGTCTCTCCTACCTGCTCCCTGTGTCCTGTGTGCCTCTACCAGCCAGACTGTCCTGTTACAGGTACCTGTTAGGAGTGAAGAGATGTGCACAGATTCCCAGGTGTGTGCTGCAGATGGGTTGTAGACTATCTGCTTTTGCAGTCCTCCAACTATGGCTTGGCCAGGTGCATACTGCTGCTGTTGTCAAGAGATTTAGAAGTGTCTTGGTTTCTGGGTTGTGCACTGGAGCGTATTCAGCTATCTAGCTATACACCACCTCCTCTGCTCAGGGATGTGTCAAGGTGCCTCTTTCAAGCCTCATGACAAGCACAGCAAGCTACTGCTGACACTGGGGAATAAAAAGGAACTCACAGAAGGACGCGTGCGTTCTGCTTTTGCAGAGAGAACTGCAATGGTCAACTAAATCATCCTCTCTTTGTGTCTTACTGAGCTCACTCTTGACATCGCGCTATCGCCCTTGTCTGGTTTTGTTTGTCAAGCGTGGAGGAGTCAGCAAGTTGGATCATACCATTGCCATCACTTCCAGTTTGCATCTGGTTGATGCGGATCCCATGGTTCAGTAAAGTGAGTGGTACATGACTGCATTTGGGTTCTGCCCTCTTTGAATGATGAAAAGTTAGGTGAGGGCATTTCGTTTTCTGTGTGCAGGGATGGTGCTGGGGATTATTTCCCTCAGTGCTTTCTACACTGAGGACAGTATCATTGCTTTATTTAATTTTGTGGTTGGCTGTTTGCCAAGATGTAGGAGGTGTTCAGGTGGGGGAAGGGTGGACTAGCAGGGCTTAATTCCTCATTTACAATGGATGACTTACATTTTTCCTTCTTCTCTGGAAAGATATTTATCTTAATCTGCTCTGTAGCTGTTCAGTCCACATGACTTGTGTTGCACTTGTTGCTTGGCAGCTGTGAAGATCCTTATGTCTGACATAAACCCTTATTTATAAAGTCAGTGTGTAGCATATTAGCTCTGTGTCAAATATTCCATACGAATGATTAATTGCATGAGAAGTCATGCTGAAGTTAAGGTAAACAAGTATCTTTTTGCACTGGTGTCTGAAATACTTTTGTTCAAGTCTTAGTTTAGATCTTTTCATGTGCCGTGCTTAAAAAAGGGTGGTCATCTGTCTCATGCAGACACACACAGTCTCTGGTGTAGGATTATACTACAAAGTGCAATAAAAGGGTAACTGTAACTGCATGAGTAGTAAAAGCAGTAGAGCTAGTTATCAGCAACTTTTGTGAAAAGGTTCATTTCCAGGGTTGCTAATATAAAGCACAGCTCTGCACAATGACATGGCAGTCCACTCTTTTCTCATGAGGATTTTCCATGGACTTCAATAAGATCTCAACTGAACTCTGGAGCAGGGTCCTGGTTCCCTCAAAGCCAGTGGCTTTTAATAACTGCCCATTATCTAAAGTAGAAATATGCTTTTAACTGTAAGGGGGCTGCTGTTCTCGTTTGCAAACCCAGGAACGTGTGGCTTTTTAATTGTGTTTCCACATGTGTGCACCTGATGTCTATCTTATGTGTGTCCTTCTTTGCCTAGAGCTGGTCTGTTACACTCAAATCTGACAACAAAAGCTCAGATTTACATGGAATCACATACTCAGTATCCAAAATTTTTTGAATTGGTGAGAAACTAGCTATGAAAAGGAAAAGCAAAATCAGGGTTTCACAAAAATAATTTCTTACTGCATTTTAATAGGTATGGTTTGATTTTGATTGTTTATTAAAATACTGCACATCTAACAAAAATAGCAGACTAGGTGAGACACTTCTGTGAAATACGGGCAGGGTAAATATTTGTAAGCTGGGTGGAAAAGAGGGATGCTAAAGGGGTGATGGGCTTAACTATGAACTAAACAGCTTAGTGAATTGCAGAGAGTAGGTGGATGTGTAGCAGTGTGACTGCCTTGGGGCTCATCCTTGTTTCTTATCCTTTCATCATCCTAAACTCAGTTGCAGTCTTCCCAGAGTAGCTTTATGTCATCTGTGCTTTGATGGGTTTTGCTTCCCTGGCTGGGATGTTGTGGCAAAGGCCTTTCACTTTGTTTCATGCTTTGATGTATTTACTCTGCAGTTAGGATGTATTTAATGCCTGGGTGGTTAATCTGGATTTTGATAGTGCTCTTATCTCACCCTGCGGGTCCTGAGGCACGTGTGCTCTAACTTCTCTCTCCTCCTTTCCCCCACCCCATATGATGACATTTTGGCTGGCTTGTATTCACATGGCAGTTTTGCCCTTTGTTCTGTGCTTCTTCCATACTCCAATTCCCCCCTGACTCCACTCAAAAACCCCTGGAGGAGACTGCTCAGAGGGTTTGAGTAGGTGAGCGGTGGAGCGTGTTAGTTCAGCTCAGATATGAGTGCAGTAAGATCTTCTGGAAAAGCATAGTTCCTACTGCTGTGCAAACATCATGCAGAAGCTGTGGAGATGGCCACGAAGAGAAGAGTTTTCCCAGTGTGAGAGCACTCTAAAGACCTGCCAGTTATGATCACTGCAAGATCAGCAGCTCTGATCCTGGCTTGGTGCTCACCAAAGCCTTACACTTCTGTGCACACTCCTGTAAAACAGCTTCTCCTGTGACAGCTCTGAAGGAGCTCCTTGCAGCACAGAACAACTTCTGATACAGAAGACAGTGCTGTGCAGGCTTTGCACCTAGAAGAACTAGGAATTACTCTGCAGTCTGTTCAAGGATGAATAGCCTTGAGATAAAATGTTGGTGGAGCTGGAGCTGCAGCCAGGTAAGAGGCATTCACCATCTTTCATAACACTGGGGAAAAGTGAAATGACAACATTAACTGTGAGGAATTTTTGCATTCTAAACATAAATTTATTTTTCATAGCTGATGTCTGTTGCAATAGTTTGTCTTTAACATCACTTGAGGGCAGAAGCCATCTTGTTTCTCTGCTCTTCATTGCACCTGTGATCCAAGAGGAAGTCCCAGCAAAAGAAAAAATTAAATAAAATCCTTGATTATGGCATCTGTACCTAATAAAAATAACTCAAAGATGAAAACACAGACTTTGCAGAAGTGTATATTTCAGAAACCACTTCTGTCTTTTTATCATCCCTCTAGAAAGCCAGTGAGGAGTTACACTTAATAACATTTAAGCATTGTCATGGGTGGCCTGTGCTGTACTCTAATAAAGGGAAGAAGTTCCTTTCTTATCCCTCATGGTTCAGATCCATTCTGAAGGCCATTAAGAGTTTGCACAAGCTTTCCTGCTTCTTTTGGTGTGTGACACGTGGGAGTTGTGCATGTGGGAGAAGCCA